GTGTCCACCCCAGGGTGGTTGCCAAAATCAAGTGAGATGACGCCCGTCAAGTACATGGCAAAGCAAATAGTGGGTCTACAAATGCTACTCTCGGCACTTGCTGGGTTATTAAAGAATTTTACCTGGATCAAGGGAAAGTGATAGAAGCCCATCATAGCACTGTAATCGTGGCCTTGAATTCCCAGATGGCTGGCTCTGGGTGGCCTCCCTAATTCGTGACCTTCTGTGAACCTCTGAGAGCAATGGTGTCAACAGCGAAATGGTGTGTTCTGACACACTGCCCTCAGTCTCAGGACGGGTCACACCCCCACACCCCAATCAGCTTCACTCCACTTCTGTCTCCTCATCAGAAAGGGGAATTAATAGGTGTGGCTGTAAATAGACCTAATTACCAGCTGGGCTTGCTTCGAGTGCCTATTCCAACCCGTGGGGAGAGTATAACTCCTCCGGGACATCCAAATTACCACTTGCTGCAAACAGAGAGTGGCACCCACTGCCGAGCCCAGCCTGGCTGCTCCTTTCCCCTCCTGCCCAGCCACACCTTGCCTGACTACCTTTCTCTGCTGGCGGGACAGTGGCGGGGCTGGGAAGTGCCCTGAGTCCCTGCAGGCCTCACTGCCGGTCCCCTCCATCCTGGCGGCGGGTGCGTAAGCATGAGAAGGGACTCAGAGGCGCTTGGGGCAGTGCCTCGTGGGAAGGGGGGACGCTTGTCTTGTCCTTGCTCCCCACATGCAGGAGCCTCCTACGGCCTTGATCCCCTCATGAGACCCAGCCCTTTGCCTGCTCCCCCTCTCCTTGGCACGCACCCCTCCTCCAGACTCTGGGTCTCCAGTGACTGCCACACCAGTTGGGGGGCGGGGGGTAGCAGTTACAGCTCCCCTGTGTGTCATAGTCTTTTTAAACCTGGCGTGTGACACATTCATTTCCGACATGAACTGGCATGAACCACGTGTGTGGACCTTGGGGGCTGGTAGGTGTGGGTGCAGTCCGGGCCGGGTGCCTGCTGGTGCCATCCCTCCCAGCCTGCCTGTCGGCGAATGCAGACAGTGCAGAGAAGCCGAGCTTGTCCCCTTCTTGCCGAGTCCTGCAAGGGAGGGAGGGAGAGCCAGTGGGGGTGTGAGCATCCAGGCTGGTTCTGCTATTTCTCCTTCGTTGTTCCAAGTGCCCTGACACATGCCCATGCCCAGTATCTGCCCTGCTCCAATACGGAGTTGGCAGTAACCATGGCAGGGTCATTGCAGTTCTCCTCAACCTTCCTTGTGCCGCGACCCTTTCATACAGTTCCTCATGTTGGGGTGACCCCCCCAGCTATAAAGTTATTTTCCTTGCTACTTCATCACTGTCCTTTTGCTGACCCCCGTGAAAGGGTTATCTGACCCCCAAAGGGCTCGAGAACTCCAGGTTGAGAACTGCTGGTCTATAGCATCAATCAGACCCTGTCACCTTCTTACTGAAACTTCTTCAGTGGACTTACCATCTTTGGAATAACACCCCAGTGCCCTTAAAATTGGTCCCTGCCCGCCTCCCGTCTGATCGTGGCCACATCCCCTGCTGTTCGTTACGCCACGTTGGTCACCTCACTGGTAGTTCTCAGACTCTGGCCAGCTTCCCCGTTCTTAACTTTGTCCCCTGCCAGGACTGCTCTCCGACCTGGGCTATTACCATCCCTCACGAGGCAGCAGTGCTGGGCTTTTCTGTTCCCTGCCCGTGCAGCTTCCGAAGGCATCGCTGGTGAAATAGCCCGGCCTCCAGGCTGCTCAAGGTTGGGGCGTTGATACCGTGTGTGCAGCGTCTGGGACACACGCAGGCCATGTCGGAGCGCTGGGTGAAATGTCTCCAGCCCTGGTGGAGACTAAGCACACGGCCCATGCTGTCCCCAGGAAGCAGAGGGTTCACAGCCGCTCCTGGTCTGCAGGCTTGATCCAGGCTTGTCTGTTTTCTAGGCTGTGTGGATGCCTGGGATCCTAAAGTGCTGCGGGCAGGTATGGGCGCACACTTCCAGGTGCCCATCGTCAACAACCTGGCCTGGGAAGCAGTACCCAACTACCTGCCCACCGACACCCGGGTCCACGTGGCTGACAACTGTGGCATCTACGCCCAGGCCCAGATGTCTTCTCAGAAGGCCAGTGACCACGGCTGGGTGTGTGACCGGCGCTACCTGAAGTTCCACAAGTTTGAGGAAGCGGAGGACGGCGACCCGGGGGCCAGGCAAGCCTGGGTTCCTGACCTGGAGGTGCAGAACTATGATGTGGACTGGACAGAGGCGCCCGCGGCTGTGGTCATTGGTGGCGAAACCCATGGACTGAGCCTGGAATCCCTACAGCTGGCCGAGAGCACGGGTGGCAGGCGGCTGCTGATTCCCGTCGTGCCCGGTGTGGACAGCCTGAACTCGGCCATGGCCGCCAGCATTTTGCTTTTTGAAGGGAAAAGGCAGCTTCGGGCCAGGGAGGGTCACCTCGGCAGGGACCGGAGCTACCAGTGAGGGCCGGTGGAGATGTTGAGGGAGCCTGGCAGGCAGACAGGCGGGAGCCTGCAAAGGGGAGTGAGCTGGGAAGACATCTTTCTCTGAGCAGTGTCGCTGGGCTTCCTGGTCACGCCATGTGCCGCGGGCACAGCAAGGTTGGCATGGTTACAGTGTTCGCCATTGGACAAATCAGAAATGCCACCGAGCTTCTGCTGAGCCTCAAAAATAATCCAGGTCAAAATTCTTCCCGAAATCGCCCATCTCCTAGATGGTGTGGTGGTCCTGGTTTTGAACACTTCTAATCAGGTTTAAAAAAATAATAATAAAGTGATACCACAAACATGCTCCTCACGGCTGCCTTATCTGTTGCTTACATGTTACAAGTTACTGACAGCATCTCCCGGGGGAGGGAGTTCTCGCTCCCAGCGCCAGAGTGGAGGCTGTGCTGCACAGCCAGCTCGCTCTCCTGCTGGCTCCCCCGTGTGGGTCAGAGCCAGCAGGTTCCAGGAAAGCCAGTCTTATGCTTCAGTTGCCTGGGGGCTGTTTATCTTCCCACCTCTGTCCTTGAAACAAGGCAGGAGGCAGGCAGGGCTACCTTCCCCAACTAAGCTGCCCCTTGCAAGGCTCCGGTGGTGGTGGTGGTGCTGCCCGTGGACATGCAGCATGCTACTGTGGACATGCAGCATGCCTCACAATCCCCCCTTTGACCAGCAGGCATGGCTTCATTCACAGGTGGGTCAGACAGCAGCACCCCCAGCAGGTCAGGAGAGCCGCACCCTGCCGGTTCTCAGCTCCTGATGCCAGTCCTACTGGGGGAAGTCTCAGTTAAGGGGAATTCCACCTCCTGACTGGAGGGCGGGGACTGCTGAGGAAAGGCCAGGGCTCCTGGCTGCCAGTGGGAAGAGGTATGGACTCCTGCTGGGGGTCTTCAGCACAGTGCTGCACAGAGCCCTGCAGCTCTGTCCCCAGAAAGGCCCGGGCCAGGCGGGCTGGTGGGAATCACCTGGTGGGTAACGGGGTAGGTGGTGGGTGTAACTGGGCAGGCGGTGGTGGGCTCCTCTCAAGCGTGACTGCATCCACAATAGGTTGGTTTGGGCTGACAGTGGCTGGATCCTGGTCCTTCCCAAGGACTGCTCGGAGCCCTGTAGCGCCTGCTCCAGGTGCCCTTGCATGCATGCCCGAGGAAACTGAATGGCCTAGAATGCTGCCCTCGCTGGGATTCTGCTGCCAGGGGCCGGGTGGCACTGGTGTGGAGTGTGGCTGGAATAATCCTCCGGCTGGCTGCGCCTGAACCATTGTGGGGAACTGCCCAGGGCCACACGAGTCCCTGGGGCTCGTGGCTGCCCCAGCGGCTGCTGGGAAGGGTCTGCTGTGGTTCAGCTTCCTTTCCTGAAATCCGAAGGTCTTACTGTGGCTCAAAGAGCAGCCCTGGGGCAGAGGGCGACAGCTGGGCTGCGAACAGCCGCCAGGAACGCCGAGGGAGAAGAGACGTGGCCACCTGCTCCCTTCAGTACAGCTGCTGTGAAAACCCCATGAGGGGACCCACGGAGGTTCAAAGGGGCATCAGGGCCGACTCAGCTACCTGTGGACAGGCTCGAATTGTGTTTCTGAGACCAACTCTTTATGGGAGCAGGAAGTCCTGACTTGGTGAGCAGCTAGTGTTCGCAAACTGTTCCCCTTGCGATCGCAGCCCAGGGCTTAACCATTCTGCACCAGGGCGCCTTCCAGGAGGAAGACATGTCCTGGAATTGATGGTGGGGACAGTGGCTCAACTCTGAGGAATGGGACCAAACATGATACGTGAATTGTGTGTAGTGAAACTGTTAAAAATGAACACAAAATTAAATTTAAAAAGACTACAGCTTAGAAAAACCCTACGGGACAGTCCTCTGACCTATAGGGTTATCCTGTGCCGCCTCCTGCGGCTCCCCCCACCCCACCAACGTTGCACACAACTGCAGCTGAAGGAAAGCCCCCCAGATGGTTCTTGAGCCCCTCAGCCTATCAGTAGAGGAGCCCCAAGCCTTGCCACTACACTGCTTTCTGGAAAGGCCGCTCGGCGGGCCCGGTGTGCCCGCACAACAAGCTAAACCCCACGAGGAACAGAGCCTGACCAGGGCAGTATGGGAAGCAGCCCAGCCCAGAGGGTGGTACCTCTGGCTCCTGTTTACCCCAGGGACAGCCCCCTGCCCTCCCCAACAGAGCTGTAAGGGAACAGCCCACCAAAGGAAGCCCACTTACCTCCAACCTGACAAACACCACAGCCTATATGAGGGGGCTTCCAGAAGTCCACAGGCAGTGGAATGAAAAGCCAATGGTTTTTTCCCACATACTCTTGGAAGCCCATGTACACCTCCCCTCTGGTTTGTTAAAAACCAACCATGTGCCTCATCCCGAGTGCGCACGTGGGGAAAGACATCCACCTCCCTCTCTGCTCCTGTTTCTGTACATCTGTGGGGGAGACTTAGGCCAGGAGAGGGAGGAGGGCAGGGGAAGGGACAACTCTTCCTTTCAGAGGAAGCGAGTGGATGGAACCTTGGCGAGGAGCGGGCCCTGCTGCCTGACGGGGGGGAGAGTGCTGGCAGTCCTTCCCAGCCTGGAGGCCACCATTCCTTCTGTGGCCTGAGCGCTAGATGACCAGACAGACCAAAGGTAAATCCTGTCTCCAGGTTGGCGCTGCCTTTGTGTGGAGGGGTCGCTGTCGTGACTTTGGCCACAAGGTGGCAGGCCACGTCCCTGGAACCACTCCCCCAGCGGAATGGAAGGGGGTGGACCCTGGATTTAAAGGGTTGAGAGGGGGAAGAAGTATCAGTCAGTTTCCCCCCAGAGGGCATTTTGTGAGCTCCTGGTGCACAGCAGGTGCACAGCTGGTGTTCGAGAGCACCATCCGGGTAGTCACCTTCTATGGGGGCAGAGGTCAGAAGCGAGAGCACCATCCGGGTAGTCACCTTCTATGGGGGCAGAGGTCAGAAGCGAGAGCACCATCCGGGTAGTCACCTTCTGTGGGGGCAGAGGTCAGAAGCGACATGCTCAAGGGCCTGGGGAACAAAAACTTAGCTGCCCAGCAGGAACAATTAGCACAGTCACCCCCCCTTCAATGAATGGAAGGTGGGTGCAGGCAAAGGCTGGTGCCCGGACAGGCCTGGGACTCCCCAGAGGGGCCGGGAGAACGCAGACACCCACCGCTTCCCTGCCCACCAGCCCCAGCTGCTTGCTCCCCGTCTCCAAGGCCCAGGGTGGACGGACCCCTGGGGACGGTCTACCGCTCATCCTAGCCATCCCACCACCGAGCCCTTCTTTTGCCACGGACAGTGCCCGCATCCAGACTCGGCTAGCCAGGGCTGCAGGGCCTCGAGCTCCCCACCACAGGAGCGACCTGCCCGGCTCCCTTTGGGGGGACGGGGTCATTTTTCTATGGAGAGAGGGACGCCGACGTAGCCCCCGTTCAACTCCAAGTTCTTCCTTCCTCTCTCCGTTAGCGACCGCACAGAGGTGATCAGAGCCAGATGAATGAGTGAGCGGATAGACTGCTCTGGACCACGGGAACATGGGACATTGAAGCAGCCAGGGAGCCGCTGCGGCCGGAGTCATCACCAGAAGTGGCCGAGGATGACGGAGCGGTGCGGGGATGGCAGTTGGTGCCAGGACACCAGATCCACGGCCTGGGAGTGGATTCGGACTCACAGCAGCACTCTACGACAGAACCGCCCGCCCCTCGGGGTTTCCAAGACCTTTACAGAAGCACACTGCCTCACCTTCCTCCCGCCGAGCACCACGGCCCCTCAGCATCACAGCCTCCCACCTGATGCCTCAGAGTTGGACTAAGTGGTCACTCCGGCTTCAAGAGCAAGAAAGGAACACAGGTTGCAGGTGGCGGCGGCGGCGGCGATGGCTGCAGCAGGGTCTGGCCTCCCAGCCTCCTTCCCACGTACCTTTGATGGCAAGGACGACCAGACTGGGCCTGCAGAGGATGCCTCCCATCCTCTCGGGTGCCATCACGTGGGTGAGCTTCTTTGAGAGAGGCACTAGCACCCAGAAACGCAGACTCGAAGCTACCTCTACCTGGGTTGGCCGCCTGGGAGCCGGCAGGCCTGGAGGCAGGCTCTCCGGTCCACTGCGCTCTCATTGTCTTGCTCACTAGGGGCTCCAGTGTAGGGGAGCCTACCAGAAGGAGATTGTCAGGGGCGTCTGGGTGGGGCTGAGTCCCCATGCTTTGGGGTGGGAGTCCAGCTTAAGGGACTCATGTCACTTGGGGATGCCCAGGTAGCAACAGTATTTAAGGGGAAATCCACTCGCCCTTCGGAACAAGTACTACCCGAGCCTAACAGGTTTCCCGGCTTGGAAGGTTGTCCGAAACACCAAGGTGGTGGCCCACACTCGGTCTTCGGATAGTGCCTCCATGCTGATCTTCACACGCAGGGTATTAGGGGAGCCTCCTCATGCCCGCTCCCACCATGAGGAGGAGCGACCCAGCTAGAAGACCCGGGAAAACATATCCAGCAGACACAAGTCTAACACACAGCCCTTTGTTTCTGAGACTCGCCCCCCCTCTGATTGCTTACAGACCATCAGCACCCACCATGACTCTGACAACAGCCACTTGTCCCCACAGGCCCTCCCACCCTAACCCC